TCCAAACAATTTGCATATAATGCAGGAATATTGCAGAGGAATGTCTCTGTGGATTTAAGCATATGCCTGTCATCAGTTGTTATTTTCATGTGCATCAGTTTGTTGTGTTTACTGTTATTGTACAACACTCAATAGCATGTGGAAGAAGCAGAGGAAAACACAGCCTCCTATCCTTCTGGGGCACGGGCTTGAATTCGAGTGAAATGGTAAAATCCTGAGTTTTCATGAAAAAAACCTCCTTGTAAATTGATTTGGTGGAGATTCTTGAGCGTTTTATAGCTATATATTTCAGTCACGAGAGAGCCCTCGTTATATGTTTATTTTCTCTCCACTATTTATCATTACTGAGCCCAGAAAAAGCCACAAGAAAGACGAGTGTATTTTGGAGGGTAAGGGTATGCAAATGACTTGTTTTTCCCCCTTAGTGTATCTCTGAACAAACATTGATTTAGCCGAGGAGAAAAAATAACACGAATGACACTCGATGTAAAGTGCATCAGTGTCAGCAAAGCAGTGACAGACGTGTCGCTCAGAAGCAAATCCTTGAAAACAGCTTTAATAGCTGCAATTTGGACTGCCAAAAATGCACATTTTGAGGCATGCTGTCATCTAAGAAGCTTGTGGTTTTTGAAGGGCAAGTGTTTCCCCAGTGTCAACAACTTTCACAACCAAGCAACTTGGCAGAAACCAAACTTTTCTTTTTTTTTTTATTTCCACAGAAAATAAATTCCTCTCAGTAATTGTAGGAGTAGCTGTCCCTGCATCAGTAAATAACTCCATGATTCATGATGTGGCAGAAAAGTGATACGCAGGCTGCAGGTGAGGGTGCAAATAACAGCATTTCTTCTCTCTCTCTAAACCTGAATGCTCAGGGCCCTCTGTGCAGATCTGTGTGTGTGTGTGTCTGACATGTGCCGCACACACATTTAATAAGATGGGAAAGTGTGAATGTGAGGAAAATGTCTAGATTTATGGGAACGTGTCAAACAAGTCAGCTGAATCACTGGGAGAAGATGAGAAAGGTGTCAACTGTAATATTGCTCACCACTTGGGAGGGAGTGTTGATACCATAGCCATGGCAATTAAGATGTTCTCCTGCTATATTTGGTGTCATGGAGGGAAAAAGCCAGGCTTCAAGCCTGCAGCCATCTTAGCTGCTCTCATATACGGCTAATCATCTCAAAGAAACGCAAATGAATCCACGATCACTGGTGTTTTCAGTGTCTCATCCTGCTTGTTTTATTAAAACAATCAATCTGGTTCTCCTATTTCATACAGCTGCATGAGCAGGGGTGTGTACAATGTGTGGCCAAAGGTGGGACAAGCCCATATGGAACCCAATCTGTGCCTCCCGGATGTTATAAAATTAATCAGGCTTTTTCAATTTTAATAACAAGTCAATGTTTTTTCCATTACTACTTACAGCCAACAATTACATGACGGTTATCGAATGATTTAGCGTGTATTTACATCGACACAAGAGGATCCTGGGAGGAAGAATACCAGGTACATAACAGCTGATGATTATTCATGTGTTAGTTTTTAGTCTTGGAAAAAAGATCCTTGTTGTGGGAAAAAAAAAACAGTATGACAGTTTTTAGTGGGTGACACTTTCACTAGCATTAGCCAGAAAGCTAGGAGCCTGTTTTACTCAAATAAGTCAACACTGACAAACTGGAGTGGACTGAAAAACCTACACGCTTCCAGTAGATCGAAGATTTGACTTGTGAGATGGTTGGCCGGACATTCACTCTTATCTGAAAGAAAAACAAGGTGTGTCTTGGAAAGGACTTACTTAGTTTTGCTAACAATGCTAACATTAGCCCATATGCTAAAAAAGTAAATGACACAGAGAAATCCAATTTTCCTCTGGGTGCCCCCCTGATTTCTAATAATGATAAATCCATCCATCAGACAGTAAACACGTGCCAAATAACGAGAATGAAGAACAAATATTTCAAGATTTACATGTTCCCTTTCTGTTGTTTTGCTTTCTGAAGTTAAGAACTATAATTACAATGTTAAAGCATCTTAATTGAGGCTAATATCAGCATGCAAAGATTTGCTCACTGAATAATTAGAGATTACAGCCGAGGCTTACGGGAACGTGATTAGTTAGGCAGAGACCGACACAAGTTTTGTTTGCTGTTTGAGCTCATTTGAAAGCGAAAGGGACCCCTGAGCAAGATATGCACCAAATTTGCAATACATCCGATATCTAAGAGGCTATTTGACAATGAAATTACATGTCAACCTCTTTGTAGCAGATCAGGGTAACAGATTTCAATAGTTGTGATATTTTAGTCTGGGTTAAACAAATTGGACAGTAGGGTGATACTGGTGTTGCTTCCAAGAATCTATCAATGCCGACATCTATATGATCGCTCCTCCTGTTGCACAAAAGTACATCTCAGCATGATCTACACATATCTGAGCGTGCTCCAGCTCAGCCCATGTTTCATGTGATCTCATCCTTGCCAGCTGGCTCCAGTCTCCAGACACCAGCTTCACCTCCAACAAGTCTCTCTCTCTTTCTCTCTGTTTCTCTCGCCGTCTCCAACCTGCCTCTGTCATGTTGTGAGGTGACAACAGGAGCCTAATGAATTCCCCTTAATAACAAGCTCTCTGTCATAAGACCAGCTAAGTCTGGAGCGTGCGGTTCGTGTTGTGTGTTTCTGTGTGTCTGTGCCCTTTTGCTGTCACTTCTGTTGACTTAGCTGACAAAACTTGGACATTTTATCTCAGATTAATCTGCCGGCTGGATGTGTGCACATGTGTGCGCTTGCACGAGTGTATCTATTCTGATATATGCCACAGTATGTATGTGTGTACATGCACAGCAATGTCAAAAGAGGGATTTCTTTTTAATATTGAGATAGGTCAGGGGGATCTGTGTGTGTGTGTGTGACTGAGGGGGGATGTTCAGGGCAAACAAGAATTCAATTTCCAGTCACGTTGCAATACTAACAAGAATGACATTTTTCTGTTCTCATCATGACATTTTATCACAGTTATTTCTTTGACCTGGGGGCCGCTGGAGAGAGAATCTGGAGAATGGCCGTCGGTGAACAAGAAGGGGGAGCGACATATTTTCCGCCGCATAAATAAAACTTCAATATCTAATTGGGACCTTGTGTATCGTCTGCGAATGAGTCTTTATTTTCCAAGGGTACGTTCTGATACCGGCTTTATTAACATTCCTCTTTTCTCCAGTTCAGGATCATTTCCATGCCTGAAGTCATCGTGTCAGACTTTTTCTGCTGTTTTCTCATTTCGCCTCTTGAAAAACTCGTATTTTCATCGGTTTTGAATACAAATACTAATGAGTTCATTACCATGAACTTTGCTTGTTTATATTTTCCAGTTACACGCAGAGTTCCTGTAGTTGTATTGCAAATGTACACGCAGTTATGATTGAGATGAGAGGGATATGAACCTTTATAAGTACCTAAGTAAGAAGCTGTTTGCTGAAGAGGTCATGTTTTCCAGTGTGGTATTCATATTAATGCATAAATAGAAAAATAAATGCACAGTAGTTCATGCTAGTTTCTGTGCACGACTACAACTCCTCTGTCCTTGGATATATAACCGATTGTAGGGAGAAACCTACTTATCCAAATTATGTCAAACACAATTTTGTTGCACCTTTATTTAAAAAAAAACATTCATGAAAGTCTGACTAATGTAGGTTTTTCAGCTAAAGAAAGAGACTGTCTGTGTATTTATGACACACAGCTGCAAAGAAATCACCCCCTTTTTACCACCTCTCCACATTTCAATCCCCCGCCGGGTCAATACGTACGTCATTCAATTGTTCTTGAAGAGATTTTGTTTGACAGATCCCACCCAGGCACATCTAAAAGCCGTACATCTTGCAGTGCCTCTGGTTGGTGGTCCTTCAGCTGCCGTCATCCATTGTTGATTTAATGAACACTTTCAGGCTTTTTCTCAATGTGGTTACAGCCTCTTTTGGTGGGATATGAAAGCAGTCCCATAAGTTAGAGAAGAGAGTTTTGGTTTAGGCTTCATTTAATTGCTCATTTCTTATCATTAGCTTATTGTACGTCAATTTGTGTCATTTTCAACAGATTTAAATAGATTTAAGTGTCTCATAACTGGTAAATATTCTGCTTTCAGAGCAAGGACGGGATTTGAATTTGACTTTGTAAAGTGTTGTAAAGCTATAACCAATGATGCCTCTTCAGTCTGGATAAAATAAGTAAATAAGTCTGTGCGACTGCTTTTTGACTTCCAATATGATACCGATATTATTACCTTTAGTATTGGCAGATAAAGATATTGACACAAACTTGCACATGAAAAGTTTTGCTCTCAGCTGCAACGTCTTTTTGGACTTTACTGAAAATACTGCCACACGGCTGACATCACTCCTACTCCTTTCTACTTTGTTAGTACATTAGTACACACTGTTGTTGTGATCACATGGGCTCTACATGCTAGATCTAAGTGCTGGAGCAGAGTCTGGAATGGACTGCTTATATAGGAGATTTTAGATTTAGATTAGATTAGTTTATTTAAAAGGGGACAGCGCAATTTCATAAAACACATGATTACACATGGTCAAAAAAAGCCAGAATTAGCCATAAGGCTAGTTTTCATCTGTAGTCCCCTGGCCATGATGTGAAAAAGGCAGTAAAATTACAATTTAAAAAAGAAGAAAAGAAAAGAGAAAAAAAAAACACAACACAATACATGTACACTATAATACAAAATAAAACACTCACTATACAGATGCAGGCCGATATAATCCCATATTTGATTTTTGGCTGATATCGGACTGATATTCTGCATGTTGGTGCATGCTAAAGCCTTTACAGCAGGCATCTCCAAACTATTGCACAAAGAGCCAGTGTGGCTGCAGGTTTTTCTTCCAATCAATCAAGAGCAGCAGTCTGACCAATCAGCTGTCTGAAGACTGAGATCAGCTGATGAAATGAATCAAGTCTGGTGTGCTGCTGCTTGGTTGAAAGACAAACCTGCAGCCACACCGGCCCTTTGTGGATGATTTTGGAGATGGCTGCTTTAGAGGAAACCGGCTGAGTAGAGGAGCCTTGATTTCTTAGGTGTTTTGGACTTTTTACAAGAGCATTAATATGAATTTAAGATCAGTTCATAAACATAAATAAACTCTACATTGGAGCTTTAACAGTGTATGGACAAAGTCTATAGTAGATGTTACCACATATAGAGAATGAGTTGAGGTATAAGGGCAGTTTGGACTCTATTTCAGATACAACAACCTCCTGTAAGCTAATATTCTCAAAATCGCTGCATATTTTAACTACTTACCCTTGAACTATTTTAAAATATTGATCAGTTATAACTCTTTTTAATTGAAGGATCCCCTCGCAGCTGAAGCCCTTTCACTTTGACAACAATCACAAGGGAGGGATACCGACCTCTGCGCTGATTTACTTCCACTGAAGGCTAAAGAAAAAAACAGTTCACTGCTGTAACTTGTGAAATCTTGTAATTATCCCCTTGTGTTTTTAAATCAGGAAATGAAATCGTCTCTTATACTTATATCATATCTGTCTTCTTTGCACACCAGGCTGATAATTTGCCTGCTGAGGATCCTGAACCCTCTTCACGGAGTTCTGAGGAAACACTGCAGGCTGTCAATAAGTGGTCAAGTACTGCCGGCTGTTAGGTTTTTGACCCGCTAATAACAAGCCTGTCCCGAACTGCCATGTCTGCATAAAACAACACTGCAGCGAGCCGAAATGACGGCTCATCAATGCCGTTTAAGTGGCCTTAAATTAAGGTGGGATGGGGCTTTTTAATGTAAAGTTGATGCTCTGATGACAAGATAAGACTCCCATTAATTTCACGCTTGATGTCTTTTCATTTTTGTTAACCCCATCGTGACCTGGGCTCTTTAAGAACTGCTGAGCTCAAACTCGCCGAGTGTATTAAAGCCTTTGAAAGATCCACTGAATGTGTCTGATTCCTGCTTTTTAAAATTCAGATCATGACAAAAAACAGATCGTGATGAGTGAAAGTTATTCCTGTACTGTAAAGACGCTGTGTGGGCAGCACTGTGAGTTTGCAGACTCTTATACAGCACACATATAGCTTCTTAAAGGTCTCACCGATGCTCTCCAAGAGAATAAAAATTGGCAGGGATTAAAAATATTGGAATCAGTCAGCCACCTACGCTTCTTTGACCCTGCTAATAAATGAAAGTTTCTGGAGACCTTGACACATCCGAGCGGCGGTTGTCTCTTCAGTTTCATACCCCAAGGACGCGCAGAAATAAAAAGGACCAAATTAACCTCATCTCAAAAACAGCCTCTCCTTTTCTGACGGGTGACATCTGTGTCTGTGTGTTTATGTGAACTCTGAGTTACGTAACTCCAGTCTCCCACTTCCTCATTGTGTAACGTTAAAAGAAACCTGTGCTCCTCTGTCTAGCAGGTCTGTGCCATTAAAAGCACTGTGCCCACTTGGCAACCGGCTGCCTGGCAAGGACACACTGGCACTTCTAGTTTTCTGCAAGCACCCACACATACAGGCATGAGTAATCCCCCCGATCATCGTTTCCGCGATCACGACGGCAATTGTGCACGGCCTTTGGTGCCGCCCCGACCCAGACTGCCTCGTGTTTTTCCCTCTTCCTCAAGTATGATAGAGCTGATGAATGTCCCTTCAGCGTCTGTTGATATAGCTGGTCATGGTGTTTAGGGGGGGGGCCCATTTTCGATATCATAATCAAGTCGCATCAAATCCGCGAGTTCTCCGCATTGTCTTCGGGCCTGTTCATTTAATGCTGCCACGGGCTTATAATGAGGGACACATTGTAGAGAAAGGCGAGTAGCGATGGGATTTTAATAGGCTCACTATGGTCCACTGGCAAGGGAAAACAGTCATTGCATTAGTTCTCTTGGAGCGGATAATTTAAGTAAAGGACTGAGAGGCCGGGATGTTGTCCGCTCGTTTGAGTTAGGTCTTATAGAAGAGCGGCGTCGACGAGATGGCATGTCGTCTTTCAATGTGGGTAAGGTGTTTGGAATACATTAACCTTTTCCTCATTTGTTTTGTGTGTGTACCCTTTTTTGTTCCACCGTGAAATGAGAAGTCTTTCCCGCTACAGGGCAAAATCAGGAGCTCACACGGGGGGCTCACGAGGCAGAGGCATGTGACACCTGAACATTAGCCTTCAATCGAAATGAGAAAAGATGAGGGGAAGAGGAGAGGAGTGAAGGGGGGGTGGGGAGAGACAAGAGATGGAGAGTATAGAAAAGGGGGCTAGGGAGGCAGTAGCGGCCTGCTCAGGGTTTTGGTAGCAGCTATTTCTTGTCTCCCCTCGCTCAGTCTATCTTTCCTTTCATTCCCCGGCTCTCCGTCTCCGACCGTTAAAGCTCAGTACCTCGGGCGCTGCAATTATTGGTACGGTAAAAGATGAAAGGTCACAACTGTTAGCAGAGGAGGAGGAAGTGACAGAATGAGGAGGGAGGACATTCCAACTTTCTAAAGCCTGAATCGTCCAGGCTTAGAGGAGGAAAATAATGCAATAATAGCTGTCAGAAAGTGCCGTTTATTGACTATTCAACGGGATAGTTCCTGACCTTTTTCCTTATTGCCGCTCAAAACTCTAACCACTCTGAGAAAAATGTTTTTTAAGCAAAGCTTTGACCTCACCTAGGGACAGATTTTTTTCTGAGGGAAGACTTTTCATACAGCCTGAAACCTGTGACTGTCGCCTGTGATGGACAGTTTGCCAGTAATGGTTTGAAGAGTCTGATAAGCGTAAACTTTCTTGCTGCTTTTTTTTTCTTTCTTAGCAGGAACTGCAACAAAGAGAAATCACACCGTTTTCAAAATTCAATACATTTACAAAAGATTAAAACCCTTTATTCACAGATTTTCAACAAACAAAACGGAGAATAGCTATCTTCTTTGCTCAGTGGGTCTGCATGTCGCGCTATTAGTCTCCCCATACTGATCAGCTCTGCCCTTTTGTTGAGAAGCCAGCTAGAAACTCAGGAAGGATCGACCCTAAAATATAATGTGACTAATTTTAAGAAACTGCAACCAAATACTGTAATTTAAAGTGTAGAAAAATATCATATTTTACTTTTATTCAAAGATTTAACAGATGTATATTCTTCTACCTGCGGCACAATGATCTACTCTAAGTATGATCAAGTTTTTAAAAAAGTGATTCAGACACAGGACTGTCACTTTTATCCCAAATTCAAGTCTTTGTTCAAACTTAGAAAGTAAGGATCACTATAAAATTAAAAATCTACAATAAGATAAGATGAGAAGAACTTTATTTATAAGTCCTGATGAAATAGTTTGCTGTTTGATCCAGCAGAGGGTCCTCCCATCGTAACCTGACCACTGCATACACTCTTGACCTCAATAAATACACAAAGTGCTGTTTTCTTCTACATCTTCTAATACAGTATTAAAAAGGGATCTGTACTGATCCAAATCAAATCAAAAGACTTGTGTTTGTGGTGATTAGTTCTTTTGAATAAGTCAGTGGACTGTTCAGACTCCCAACAAGCTGTTAGATTGATGTAAATATTGCTACGATTCAAGAAAAAACAATTGAAATCCTCTTGTGTTTTCTGTTATTTGACATTTTCTGTACAAGAAGTCAATTTCATTTAGAATCTTATTGGGTCTCTATTTTCATCACATTGTCTAACTGTTATACTCAACTTAACAAAACCATAAAATGAGTCATAAAAATGTTCTGTGTCTGTATTTAGTACAACTTGTTTTGTTGTTTTGTCATGTTGTTGGTGGTACAACCCAAGTGTGTAAAACATATTGACCTTATCAAGTAGTGAAAACTTTCTCAAAGAAGTGTTAAAGTTATGTTCGAGTTTCTTAAAAGAAGCTAAATCAGGTAACAGAGTTGATTCTATCTGCAGCAGTGATAGCCGAGCTTCTAGTTCAGCTCTGGCGGCTGTAAATAAACTGAGGGGGCATGCTGACTGGAATGCTCTGTTCCTATCAGCTGCTACCTTGAATAACCTGACTCAAAAAAAGGCAGACTATCCCTTTAAATATCGGGTCTTTTGGGGGATTAAGTGGCAAGGGAACTCTAATGTGGGCCTCAGTGCACCAAGCTAACAGAAACCACACTGGAGAATAATATCCACTTCTTTTAGTACGTCCATGAGTACAAAAAGAGACAACACAATCATATGAAACATCTTGTACAGAAATGGTTAACACGTTTAATTTTCCACCTAACAATCATGACACATTTTTCAATTTTGGGGCCAAATTACAAGTGAGAAACCAAGATGAAATGGGTGAAACTTGAGTGGAATCAGTCTTTATTTTATTCATAAGCAAACATCCAGACATGTCTTATTCACTCAAATAGAACCAGAGAGGAGAGCACGCACATCTCCCAAAAAACCTCTGCAGGTGCTTGATGAATAAATAAACACCAAAAAAAGAGAAGAAACAGCTCTGCAGACGGATTTTTTTATTCCTTTGTAGTCTTTTCATCAAGGCAGGGTGCTGATTCATTCAAACTGGGATCAGATTGATTTTCAATCATACAGATAACAACCATTTCAGTACATCGTCTGGTCTGCTAGATAGTGTTTGCATAAGAACGCCTGATCTAAAAACTCCAAAAGGTTGGTGAGGTACAGAATATGAAGACCTTGAGTCTAATTTCTGACTTCATACTTGGAAGTGACAAACTTTTTTGTCACTTCTAGGTTGTCTCCAGGTTGTCTGCAATTCAGACATTTGTGCAACTCAACTTCCAAGTCAAAACCCAGTGTGTAAACTCTAGAGCAGACCTGGGCATTTTACGACCAGAGGGCCACATCCAGCCTTTTGGATGTCCCTGCCCAACCCTTTGTGAGGTCCATCAATCAAATCATCAACATGCTATACAAGTGTGTTGCTTTTATTTTGGAAACCTAGCCGTTGTTTATTTCCGTTTGGACGTACATCCTAGATCTGCATTCATGAACAGAGACAAGTTAAAACGTCTGCAAAATATACATAGACGCCTTACAGTTGCCAAGTCCGCTTATTATAAACGACTTTAGCCCAATCCTGCTCTAGAGTATGCCCAGTTTTGGTCAGATCAGAAACATAAACATGAAAGAGAACATAGATCCTGAACTGCGCTATCCAGGTATGGAAGTCCAACTATTGAAAAGTTTGATTTCGAGCAATTTTAAGTTGGATAAACACGTTTTCATGTCGTTTTGAATAAGGATGAACTCATGTTTTTTAGGGCCAATACTGATACGGATTATTAGTAATCAAGGAGCACTATATTGGATTGGATGTCAGTGTAGTCAACAAGTGAGGACTATAGACAAAGAGTGGTGACCTCAGGCAGAGAGAGGCGGCTGTTTAAGAGCCAAGTGAGCGCATTTTTAAATAAAATTATTTTATCGACAATCAACAGAAAAAAGCTGACGCAGATTATTGTAAAAATGCTAAATATTGGCCGTGCCGATAATCGGTCAATCCTTGGTTTTAAAGTCCAGTTTCATTTCAGCTAATGCAATAAAGTGATTTTTCAAACAATATGTAACATACTAACAGATTTACTTTATATAGTGTGCTGTTAGTCTAAGAGGATTTAGCTTAATCTCCTGACAATGAGCAGAGGGATCTGGTCGAGGTTAAGGGTTGGTCGTCATGTGATCCAAACATATTCTCGCTCTGTCGTGAATATTGGTCACCACACACAACCTCGCCAACATTTAACCAATCTCACTCATATCTGATTTACATCTGCGTCTCATGTGATCAAGTCAAATCAATATCTTAAAATCCTCCTCTGTGTGATAAAACTGGATTTTTTAAGCTTCAGCCCTCGTCAGAATTTCTCTCTAATTATCCGCTTTTACTGCGACTCACATGGATAACTTTTTGGATGCATCCACTAGATGGCCTTCCAGAAACTCTCCCCCTTGCCACTTCCCCATCAGCCCCAATACCCAATCCTGCAGAGCTGTGTGAGGAGCTAATGTACGGTATTGTGATGCAAAGTACTGTAATTATGGTCATTATTATGGTCATTTGCTTTTTTGGCGTGAGACCGAGGCTCATTAGCCTTTATGGCTGAAATATCTTGTGGTGCTGGTCACTGCACTCCATTGTTTAGCAGCTGAAAGAAAGTGTGTGAGTGTTTTTGCATCTTTGGATTTTTTAGAGTCCAGGGCTAGCAGTCTGGACTTTAACCATCTACAGAAATTAATGGGTCTCTGGTATTGATTCATGACCTTATCAACCCCCGCAGAAATACAGCAGATTTTTTCTTGGGTGGAAAGTAAATGTGGTGTTTCTGTTTTTCAGCAGCACCGTAAGTCTTTACAGAGTTAAACAGCATCCGAGAGTCCCCCCGTTAAGACTAAAGACATGGAAGAAGGACAAGGTGAGCGCGCAACTGAACGAGGAGATGGGAGGTAAAAAGGATGGATTTGGGCTGTAACTGCCCAGGCGATTGGGTTGTAAGGGGAAGATGAAAGACAGCTACTGCAGGCAGAGAAATAAGCAGAAAGCCCATCAGAGTATAAGAGACAGCAAATGAGGAAATTGGAGGGAAGGTGAAATTAAGCAGAGAGGGGGAGAAAGAGGCAAAAGGGAGTCTGGGAGATCTATATGCCAGGGGAAGAGTGCTGTATTTCAGGCCCAGTGCCTTTGTGCCATTTGAATCACTGCAGGTTTCTAATGCCTCAGGCTTTTCTATATAAAGCTCAGACAGCTGCTGGATTTTCCACATTACTGCCATGGAATTGGATTAATACAATGTCCATCCATGTTTTCACCATCATCAGGCAGCATCCAGAGGGACCTGCTCTCTCAGGTCACCGGCCACCTGTCTCCTTCTGCTCATTGTTATGAGGGACATTAGCAGGTATGGGGACTGTACGACACTCTGCATACAGAACAGCATATCATTACGAACAAGTCTGTCATCCAATTAGGTAGTCCCAAAAGACTAGAGGCCATCATTGTTAAGATTGCACCCCCTTCTAGAAAGACCGTTGCTACACTAGTGACTGTGTCAGAATTCACTGATTGGGTTTTTTCACCATCCTGGACCGTATGTAGTCCCTGGGTGTTTCAAGGTCCAAACCAAAGTCCATGTTTTTGTTAAATTTTATACATTTGGTTCAGTCTGTTTAGGTTTCACACTGTCATTATTGCAAACGGACTAACAGACTTTACATGACAAACCTAAGTGATATCGTCAACTACGTGCATTGTGTGTCTCTGTAGTTTACATTAATTGGTCAACACGTTGAGTAGCGTAAGTCTTGAATATTGTAAACATGAATAAAATCGTCATTCCCCCATCATATTATTGTTGATTTTTAACTACCAACAGCGATAACTTAATGAGCTTTACATATGGCTGGTCTAAGTTTGTCTTATGAATTTGATCATTAGACAACATTGTTGACGTCATTAGACGACAACTCTATCGTCGTTGACAGGAAAGGAAAAGAAAGTATGTGATCCTGCGAGCCACTGCAACACCGACTCTGGAGAGAAAGTATGTATTGTAAAACTCTTGAAAAGATAAGCTATCAATAGTGAAGTATCTACAATATTGTAAATTACGTCTCCAGCACGCACAATAACGAACATTTCCACTCCTTGAGTCATTTCCTGTCTTTGGTACGAAGATCCAACCCTTTTAAAATAATGCTTTTCACACTGGGCATGAACCAGACCATGGTTCAGTTTGGTCCGGACGGAGACCACCTCTTTTGGTCGGACCAAAGTCCGGCTGTTTGGTCCTGGGGAAGTTTCACATCTATCATTTTGATTTGGACTAAACAGAAAAGTCAGAAAGTCTGGACCAAACAACGTAGGTGAAAGCTCCCTCTGTGACCACCACTGGTGACTAAAAGGGCTCAGTAAACAAGACAATGGCGTCGACCCTTTAGGGTTTAATTTACCAACCCTGAATTTACAATAACGCCACTTCTATTTCCAGACGTATTTCAAAGGAAAATCCTGATCTTATATTTGAATCCAAACAACTACCACAGTTTATCCATAAAGAATCAATGAGGTTTAACCCTGAGTTAGCAGCATAAGAAGAGACTTAGTTTTTTAAGACCTTAATGGTCAGGCATATGTTAAAAGCCTGTAACTTCTTTATTAACCTTCAATCACATCTTCCCATTAGAAGTCTGAAGTATCAAGATATCAGACTCAGATCACATCACACAGCTCATATGCAGACAGCCTCAGGCTTCTGTGGAACAACTCAATTACCACATTTCCATCATGTCTTTCCCCATACGTACCGCAAGTATCTCTCAATCACCTTCATGATCTGTTAGGTCGAGATGGAAAAACTTCATTCAAAGCTGCAACAAGAAACTGGCTGAAACTCATGAACATCAAATCGACGAGGGATGTCTTTCATGACGACAATCAAGGTACAGCTTTTTTCAGTTTTCCCTCCATTTTCTTGCTGAAAGAGACTAAAATTCTGAACCTCAGCTCCAATATCTTCTAAACTCCATAAGGGATCATTTTCATGTCTCCACTTGGTCCCTCTTGACGTCCATGAAGATAGTCAGACGTATGAAGGGGAGTATTATTTGTTTTTTTGGCAATCTGGTTCCTACTTCTTTCACTGTATCCCTGAGTGTCTGCATCGCTTTCACACATTCGTCCGCCTTGTATAGCTTATCAGGTCCAGTAGTTATTTCTCTTAAAGAGGATAAAAAAAGAGAAGGAGAAACTTTGGCACTTTAATTCACCTCATCGAGACGACTCTTGGGTGCTACAAGGTTGTGAAAGCTGATAGGAAAACATTCTTGACATTCTATGATAGCCCTCCTTAGAGGACCGGGTCATTTCTTTTTGGACAAACAAAATCTCAACCCTATCGCTGTTAGCCAGAGGATTGCCACCAAACCAGCAGTGCTGAGCACTCTCAGCTGAGTACCAGAGGAAAAGATTGAGGCTCAGCTCAGCTTCAAATATGCCAAAGATCTGACCCATAAGGGCACTTTTGGGTGTTTTTTTTTTCTTTGGCTTGGGCTGAAAATTCATCCACAGCTTGATTTACTTCAGATATCACTCCCTATATTAAAAATTACAATGATATAAAGTCAGCAAACGATGATCATCTTTTACTATTTGAGAGTTTGTTATCACCAACGGGCCTTCACATTCAAGCTAGCTTGAGCCTACTGGGTGGCTCATTGTTACGGGTTGTTATCCAGGGAAAACATATGGACAGTGGCAAACTCAGTCTGTCTGAGGGGCAGGGGCACAAAGGTTTGAAAGGGCACCAGCTGTATGCAGTGAAGCGACAGAGTGCAGAGGAAGTGATGCATATGTGGAGGTTTTTATGAGTCAGATTTAAATGCATCTTTAAAAAAATCTAAAAGATGGACTGCAGGGATATTGGCAACTATTACATTATATTAATGGAAGAGAGCCCGACAAATATCCTAGCATGTAGAGCTGCATCATATTTGCTTTACTGGAAGGAAATCTAAGATGCATCATTATTTCCTTTTGGCAAAGCAGACAGTATTTGACACACATGTGTTTGTCTCTATTTGAAGGTTGACTTTATGGACACTCCAACACATCCTCTCCTTGGATCCTGTTTTTTCCCCTGAAGGGGGCACTCTATAGGCCACTTTATCAAATCCACATACTCAAAAGTGTCTCCTGGAAGGTCTTCTAACATGTTCTCAACTGGAGGCCAACGCACAGGACAAGCTTCTGTATAATTTTTCTGTCAATATTAGACAGGGAGAGAATTGTAAATCAAGACTATTTTTATTTTAATTTAACCAGGTTGGTCCCATTGAGATTACAAATCTCTTTTACAAGAGAGACCAGGAGGCCAAGAGGGCAGCAGCATCGTTCCTACAACAGATGAAGTTCACAACATCTCAACATTAAAACAATCTCATGTAAAACATTCACACACAGATGAGGTAGATTGTAATGATTTCACTAAAGTTTTAAATTCATTTTGTGTCACAAGAGCTTGAAGGCGAAGTTCAGACTATAGTTTGTTCCAGGTATGAGATGCTGAAAACCTGAAACCTTTCATGCCCAGTTCAGTTCTTCCTTTGGGGACAACAAACTGTAGAAAGACTAGCAGCAGTTCTCCGACTCATATAATTACTTTTGTAGTCTTCCTGGTGCAGTGAAGTTGAGTTGAGCCTAGAGAGGCATGTTTATCCCGGGATACCAAAAGACGAGGACACCATCACTGTTATAACCTGAGCTCTGTCCCCCTGCATTGACATAACCTCTGAGTGTTTATTTGTTTTTAGGTGCACATGGTTGGAGAAAACTTGAACATGCACACTCAAGCCTGGTCTTCTTGAGTTGAAAGGTCTAAATCCACTGTGTAAATAGTAACACCCCTGTCTCCCAGTGCACCCAGCTTTTAAAAGTAATGAACAGATATAATGATGAGTTTGATTCATGTCACTTTAGAAAACATTTCTGAATATTTTAGGATCCTGAGCTTCACTTTTCAGATTCTGCACTAAATGGAAATATATTGTGAGGCCTCGAGACGATGCCCTTTAGATCATTTCTGCAGAGTCCATCAACTAAAACCTTCTGCTTCAACACCAATATGATTCCAGTTAAGGTGTCTGACATGTAATTATAAAACGGAGACTAATACTCATGCAGATCAGGTCACTAGCATGACATTACTTGTACAGTGTGCGTGCTCCAACCGCGGGTGTGACTGCGAGAAAAGGTCAAATAATCACATGTCCTGTCTTTGCTAGCGTCACATCTTTCGGACACGAGGGTCATACGACATTAGAATCTCTGCATTGTCCTTTTTTTGTGCCTGCTTTTATGATGTCTTCATGTACAATCACCACAAGTTAAGTTTTATTCAGGGGACTCACAAATGCTTGGAAATTTGGGTGAAAAATTAGGTGTTAAAAGTACTTTGAAGCATTTAACAGGGTGATCTGCTGCTGTTTGTGTTATTGCTTACAAGTCAGTAACAGCTTGATAGCAAACAAAGATGGTAAATTCAACATAAAACTGTTATTTAATCGTAACCAACAGTCAAGTCAATCAAACGTATAACTTATGTGTTGTATTACTCCCATCTGAGCTTCTAATTAATTTCTGGACTGCTGTAAAGCCCGTCTGTCTTATCTCCTCTCATTGATTTAAGTAGTTAATTTTATACTCTGTCGATGCAGGTTTAACTTCACAGCTGTGTTATTGATTTAGCCATTACACATTTTCTCATTATAAGACTGTGGGTGCCCAATACAATAACGTTGAATTTTCAAGTTGAACAACAGCTTACAAAGAGTGTTTTAGTGAACAAAAGTAGAGTGCTGTTGCTTTAAAATGCAAAACTTATTTAATTTTTGATGTCCAAAGTGTAAATCAGACTGAAATCCTTAAATGAAAGTTTCAACTAAGATATATCTGAGGAACTCTTTTGCATTCATGCCACTGATGTTGGTTTCAAATGGACTTGGATAGCATATAAAAACTCATTTTTCATTCTTGATGAAGAGATCTTTTCATCAATCATTCATCGCTAAACCAATAGATTTTTTTTAAATATGGCTAAAGAGAAACAGTTGACTGCCAATGAAGCAGTGGGTTGTTGGGGGATGCTTGCCATGTTCAATGTCAGAAGGACGTCACGAATTTCTCATTTCTTCCAGCTTTAACTTGTGCCTGCATATGCTCCATTTACCTACTTTTTTTTTCTATTTAGAGATTAAATTTGTCCCAGAATCACAAGAAGTCAAGAGAACCAAGGACGAAGCAGCAGCAGCTCATAACACGCCAAAAGCAGAGAGCTGAAGACAATCCAATTCAAAGGGAAATCACTGCCTTCACTCCAACTAACTTGTTAGTGTTTCATCGGTGGGAGGAAACCTACACAAACACAGGGCGAATGTGGAACTGTCCACACAGACACAAGGACTGAACCTTGTTGCTGTGAGATGACAGTGCCAACCGCTGAGCCACCACGCCACCTCCGTGCTGGTGGGTAAGGATGTGAACGTTTGGCAAAGAATCCGTCACGTTCAGACCGAAAAGGGTAAATGTTTTGCAGGCAAGCAGAGCCATCTGGTGTGTGGTGGAGACACCAGCTGGGAGGCAGGAAGACGGGTTCAATGGGCCTGCGAGAAAATGGCAGGAGTGAGCGGGTGAGCGCTCTGAATCAGGTGATTTTTCACGAACTGGGCGAGAGGTCCGGTGAATCACTGTTGTAGTGGATGGCACCTGCTCTGTGCTGATGCTCCGGTCTCCTGCTGAGAGCAGGGTGACTGGGAGCACGAATCAAGCTCAACTTTTCGGGTGTGAAAATAGTTTTTTGGTTGTTTCTCCTAAGACAAAAGGACACAGACAGTCAAGAGAGTCAAAGGTTGTAAACTAATCCTCTGGACTTCACCAACTTAGTTCAGTTTACAGTTTTGTTCAACTTTTCTGTTTAACACTTTGGGGCAACTAAAACTGTGTCCTACCACATTAAAACCTCTAAAGCGAACAATAAAACTCATTAACTTCCCAACTAACAAAAACTTCATTGGAGCGTCATTAAAACACAGATGCTTTTTTAAAAAGGGAGCAGAGGAAACGCATCAGAAGCAAGAATATGGCCTCAGAGCTGTCCGAGTATCCTCTTTTCACTAATCAAACAACAAATGGAAACAAACTTCTAGAACAGATGAAGACTTGCTCAGAAATCAGAAGGATAAGAACTCAATGCTAAATACACGTAAATAATGTGTATTTATATTTTCCCCATCACCTTTATTTCATCTGTTGTAATGGAGGCTTCAAGACTGTAGCGACCTCAGAAACCAGGATGTCGCTTAGAGGATGAGATACGAGCCTAGTCTAGTTGTCTGACGCACTTTGTCAATGATCCGCTGAGACGGGAATAACTTAGAAAAAAACGTGCTTTAATACTTAAGAAAACAATCAACCAAAAAACGATACCAACTAAAGAAACAGCAATCACTGGACTAAATGAGCATGTGTGCATGCGGTCAACAAATATACGGCGACGGTAAAACGGATCTTAAATTGTATTCAATATGGTTTTAAAAAAGTCTTAAATTTGACTTGTTAAAACCTGCAAAAACCCTGATAACAGTAGCATCACTGAGGATGACATTGTCAGAGTTTTACCAATTGCATTACCTAATATTCAGTGTGAATATGAACAGCATCCTTTTTTCCTGTTTTACCTTTTATCATCATTTTTAACCAAGAAACAGACTCCAAAGATCTCAGATTCAAAAAAAGTTCAATGTCCCATAATCCTCGTTAATGATAAGACTTGATTGATTGATTGATAAGACTTGTTCAGGGTTTTTCCTGCGTTCAAAATTGCGTGGCGGCCGCCTCCACCTAATTTTGTGCCGCCCCCAGCCAGAGCGATTGATTCCGCTCAACACAGCGTAAAGCTCCAGCTGTGTTGATTGAGTGTATGATGTCCCTCTGCAGCAGCTACGTATTTTAACTGCAGTTGCAGCGTTGCGCCACTATATAGGCGCTATATCAACAGCAGTGCACCGGAAAGACCTGAAGCATCTACCGAAGAAGAAACGGATCGAATCATGTTTTTTCAAGTTTTTTTTCTCGCTAGTTGGTGCTGTCGGCGTCCTGATTTTCGCTGGCGGATGGTACAAACAGGTAAATACTGCTTCTCTTTTTTGCATCCAAGCATGTCGTGTTTATTTAAAAAAAAAAAAAGTTTCCTCCGTTTTTAGCGTTGCAGTTATGACAGGCAAAATCAGCCAGTACTTTAAAAAGCGACCTCGCGAGGAGGAAAGTCAAGAGTCCAGGTGAAACACAGCAAAACGTAACAGGCAGTTAAAATGCTATAATTCATGTTGGTGACAACGTGGAAATTTGTGTCAGGTCTGAAAGTAGTTCACAAGGGACTGGTGATCGCGAGGGTCAGAATGCAGGACAGGACGAGTCGGCGAGGCGAGGGTAATTAATTAATTAGTTTCCAATTAGGAGCATAACAACGCAAAGCCGACGTGTACGTGGTTTTTATTCGTCTTTCCAGATCTTCTCAAAAACACAGAGCCAGTGGCTTTGACAAGCAGTGGCTCAATCAATTTACCTGGCTCAGGCATACTGAGGAAGGCATGCACTGTTATTTATGCCAAAAGCACTGTGCCCCAACACAGCAGGCAATTGCTGCCTCCTTAGTGAGACAGCCATCAACCAACTACAGGCTGGACACATTAAACAGACATGAGGTGACAGCCATTCACAAAGCAGCTGAAGAGAAGGAGAAATATATTAAAGATGGTAGTACCTAAAAAAACTCAACTAATAAAGTTACAAAAAATAAATAACATAGTTTAGACAGTTTAAGAAATAATTGGTTGTCGTTTTTTTAGGGAGGACACTGCAGCGTATACATATATATGATTGAAAACACTATCACTCTTCATGTCTGTATCAGAATAAAAACAAAAATACTTAATGCATGATGAATTGTTTTGTTTAAGGTGAAGACACCTCTGTGGAACAGACTGAAGGAGAGGCACTTGGATGTCTGTTGTAAGGTGGCCGTTGATGGACCAGACCAGGAGGCCTTGGACTACAAGGAGTGCATGAGGAGGTTCTACAGAATGAAAAAGAGGAGGCTGAAATGTTCTGTCTGGTTGTGAGATGTGTGGATGAAGTGTACTTTCAATTTAAAGTTGCCAGCTGATTTGTGTATGTATATAGTTTTAATAAATGAATGCTTTAACATGATAATGGTCACACTCTTTGAACTCTTAACTTAAAGTATGTTGCCTGTAAAAGAAAGTGAATCGGTTGAATTTACAAATACATGCACGTCGTGGCGCATGGTCAGGATGGTGCCACCTCTGCCTCAATTTGAGCCAGGAAAAACCCTGTTGTTTCTTTAATAAACAGAAGCCCTCATTGTTTTATTTCTTCCAGTCTAAATACAGTTCGGAGTTCTTGATGAATTCTTGCTTGTAATAAAAAGGAAACAATCAGTTGCAGCGTTTTATACGATCGATGGAAAGTGGGACTCGAAAGATCACAGACTTAAATTTCAGTCAGGATTCTGGTTCACTCAGACTGAATAGAGTAGTGGAGGAGTATAACACAATGAGACCTGCTAATAGCATAGTTTAGATTGGTGGAGCACTTTTATGTTCAGCTTGAATGTAATGTAATCAAAATATGCAGCACAGACGTTTTTCAGCGGTTATTTTTTTGAGCATCCATCAGAAAATAGAAATCATCTCCAAAACTCAACTTTGCATCACAATGTTCAACTTATCCATGTGTTTTGTCATCTTTAAAACTGAAATTCTCTCTATTTTTTCACTTCCCTGTAGACACAGCGAAGAATACACACTGCAGACTTCTCGTCAATGTGAAACCGAGACGTGGGAAAACTTTTCCTTGCCTGCAGCTATCGACTCATCCAATAAGAAGGCTCCTACATGGATGCATTTACTGGCTTGTTGTCGAGACCAAGTGTTTTGGCAGGAGCTGCTGGAAGCTGCCATTGAAGATTTATCCAGCCAAAACCCAAATGCAACCCCCTCCTCCTACCACGCTTTGCCCGTACGCATGCCCTCCATCACTGCCACCAGTTGACACATGCTCACTGTGACATCTTGACTGATTGCCTCATTGCCACTGAAGCAGGGGGCCATGACTGATGTGTCATATACGCCGTCTAGCTGTGGCTCTATGAAACATGGATGACATGCTGGGAACACTGAAGATTTATTAAGTCGAGTACTTGTACTTTATGGAGTTTATCTGAGATTCAAAACACCTTAACTAAAATCTCCAACAGTTAATTAAATATGTGAAGAAATAAAGAGCTGTTGTATTGACTGTAGCTCTCAGCAGACTTGTTCTGAATTTGTTTGTTTTAGTATTAATGTCTTAGTTCTTGAAAGCTTTTCTTGTATTGGGTCTGAAATGTTCAGATCTATTTTCTTTAAAAGTTTAAAGAGCTTGTGTCATGCCTTTTTATACAGTAAAAGACTTTGAAAAACTCTTAGAGATATCTTTAAAAAGTTGTAATTTTTTGTGCTAGTTGGAAATTTTCAACTATTGCTTACTGAAGACCAACAACAGACCAACAAAATGATTGAATATGTCCATTTCCCCATCAAATCAAACCTTCTTAATTTGATCACAGGTCAAGTCTCGCCTTCTGCAAGTCAGATTGTTCACTGATGTGAATACGATCAATAACCAATAGGTGTGCTCGCACAGGAAGCCAAACAATCATGAAGGGAAGGTGAACCAACGGAGACATCTGAAAACCCAAAGTCAGAGGAGTAAACGTTGGTGTTTTATGTTCATTAAAGTTAGCATCTGAAAATAGCAAGAGCTCGTTTCATTTCAAAATGTCAGATATTTAAAAGAAGTGTTTTGGAGTTTGAGTTTGCACTGAGCATGATTCAACTACAATGTATATGAAACTTATCCTAGAAACCAGTCAAGACACTGAAGCTTTGCCCAACAGCAGTATCGTTATCCTGGCAGATGTCTGTCAAATATGACTGATTATACACACTAATCTTCAAAGTCCCACTCTGATCGTATTTGTTTACTATTTAGGATATGATCAGTGGTCGTTCAATTGTGATTATGAAGTTTTTAGCCAAAATCATGTTACTTGTGTCATTTTCCAGGACTTTACTTCAGCAGAGCTTCAGTAGCTCATTAGCAACTCGCCTCTGAGTCGTGTGCAGAGACAGCGCTGCTCTGCACACTCCTCTTCATGCTAGCTTGTAGCCTAACAGGTAGGTAATACAGGACGCTAATGTCTTTGGGGGGTAAGATGAAAGTTTGTATCATAATTAGCTTTCTTACAAGCATTGCAATCCACTAACGCACACGCTTGTTCCGCGATCGTCCTTTCTATTTCTCGGAGTCTGGCCTGCATAGCTGGGCTCTGGGGGCGGAGCTTGGAGTTATGACATAGGAAATCCCACTGTGTTTGAACCTGCCATTTGGGTCTGCCAGAGATTTTCAGCTTTTTTGAGTAAGTTTTCTCATAATACGTCCTCTAGCATCGGAAAATCCCACATGAACATGTAGACAACAAGAAAAAAATGATTTTCACTGGAGAGGGTCTTTAGACATTGTCCACACAGGATAAATTTGCTTTTTCAGACAGTTTTTCTCAAGTGTATCTTCACAACTTTTAGTGGCTGCTTCATTAAACTGCTGGCTGAGACCACCGGGTTCGCATTTTTACCAATCCACCCACAATTTCAGGCGCTGGGCGACGTTCCTCTCCATTTATATTAATGATCTGGTTTTAAAGGACTCAGGAAGGTTATACTTCATGATATACTGTGAGTACATGTCAGCAAATTCTCAATACCACCTACTATACACTGAAGGCAAATTGGTCGGTCGGGTCAAAGGGCACAAGCGACACTGCTCTTGAGGTCCCTACATCAATACACAGCAGAGAAACTAGCCAGAGGCAGCAGTGGGTCCTGTGAGGGGGAGGTGAGGTCGGCCATCATTTATCAGCTCTTGGTAGCAGTAGCAGTGACTGGGACACCAATGCATCAATAAGCTACAGGCGCACACATACTGATACCCACATGCACAATGGTACTAATGAGGTCCAATGGAAAAGGTTACAGCTCGGAGCGTGGAGTAGGTGCACAGCCATGTGGTGGATGGCAAATTCCCAACCACGTGTAATTCCCTCCTTCATGAATCCCTCTGTTTTCAATCTGTATGATAAAGAGCCCCAGAGTAAGCACGGCGAACCAGGGATCCTGGCAAGAAATAAAGGGCACCCAGAGTGGAAAACAGCAGGGAAGAAAAGCAGCCAAACTCCTCCAGACAACCGCCTTGGAAGCTGGGGGAATTTCTATCCACCCTGCAAATATTGATTTTTGTCTTTGCCGCCCTTTCCATCAATGCTTCACACTAAGCCCGCCATCCCCAACCCCCACCGCTGCTGCTGCCTCTTCTTGCCCCCGCTCTGGCAAAAGGGCTGGCGATGTCCTGGGTGGTTGTTATAAAAAGGAGCACACTAAAGTCATGATGTGGTTCACTTGCTTTTAACTACAATCTTCACTGCCTTCTGCATTCAACTGTACCATTTCACGGCCCCGAAAGGTTTTTCTATCAAAGTCAAAGTCTGGAGCAGAAGAGAATTGTTTAGCTCTGGGCTGCACAAATCATCCAGAGTGCTGCACATTGTACTGTGTTTGATTATTGTGTGTATCAAAGCACTTGTAGAGTCAATTTAAGACCACTTGTGCAAAACTAAATATCCCTCCCTCTGACCGCAGTCATCGCTGCTCAAGTGTCGTGCTGGGTAATAGGGGAACAAGATTTTTTGTCCTGAGCAGATTCTGCTGGTGGATAAAATTACACTCCCAGCCTCTGTCATTAAAGCTATACTTCGTCCTCATATTACCTCACAAATACTAATATTTGCAGACTCTACAGCATGTGCAGCATACTGCATATTGTATCTCTAAAACATAGAAATATAACATGATACAGCATCGTGAATTTCGACAGACTCTCCTCAAAATAATGATGAGCTAATAAATACTATAAATATGATATATACACTGCCATGGCCTTCTGTACTGAAAAAACTGGGTGAAACAGCTCAGAGTTTGCTCCCGTATTGACACGGATCCCTTTTTCACAGCAGAGACACAGCGGTCCCTGGACACTACGATGTAGCCAGAAACCGGGTTTTCCTGACATTTTATGGAGACCTTATTTCAAAGCTGGGGAAGTACATAAATAAAACAAAGCCTGGAGGCATACAGGCCCAGTTTTGATCTGTGGTGGATGTGAAACTGAATGAACTCAGCATGAAGTCAGGGTGAGGGCAGGGGCGGAACCAGGGGGTGGCCCTTGCCCTCATCCTGACCGGCCACCCCAGGGTTTTTAACTTTTGATTGGCTATCTAGGCCTCATCAGTTGAGACTTTGGTTGAAATCAATTATTTAGGGTCTATTTTAACCAGCTTTAAGCTTCAATGCAATTAAATGAAGCTCATTTTCAATATTACTTTATTAATTTGAGACTTAGAACATCAATCTGAGTCCTTGTAGGTTTTTACTGATGTTTTTTTCATGTTGCCATTTTGCTGTTTTTCAAAGTTCTAGTTATGTGTTGGACTTTGATTCCTGCATTATAATTAAAGCTCCTGTGAGGAGTTTTTGATGATAATGAAAGATTAAAATCCATGGTGTGCACAAAGCAAACCCACGTCAACAAAATTTTCATACTGCCTGATTTAATGCGTAAAAGTGGTTTGAGGTGGATGTATGCAAAGACTGCTTTGTCCACAGGGGGGAGCCAAATCTGGCACAAACCAAAAGTTCCTCACAGGAGCTTTAATTGAAAGTTTAACGAATAAATAAATGCTGAGTAAATAAATGCAGTTCATCTGTGGGCACAAATACTTGCACATGTAAATGCTCCCCTTGTGAAGGTCAGTGCAAAAAAAGGTTATAACATCCCTGTGTTAGGAAATCAAAATGTTTTGCCAAATATTATGACCTTTCTCTAAAACTTTTAATGTTAAATCAGGCATCCTGCGTCACACTCTGAGAATAAATATATGGATTTTACCATCTGGTGAATTGCCCATGTCTTCACAGTCTTTATTTCTTATGCAAAATCATCGTTCTGTTACTGTACAGATGAAACTTCGTGATAGTCTTACCCTGAGGCAAACAGGTACATAAAAAGAGGAGAAGTTGGAGGTTGTTCAGATTTTATTCATTAACTTTTTTTTCTTCTTTCATGAAACAAGTTTGTTACAAAGCTGAGCATCACGATGAAAAGAAAGGGCATGATTAAAAGTTTAGATGATTTCAGGGTTCATATTTTTGTCTTTTTTTTTAACAGAGTGAAGCATTTTGTTATATGACATCCATAGTACAAGAACTATAAAAGAGGTAGAAGTCAGAGTAACGTAAAACACTTTCTTTTCCTGAAGCCTTTTTTATTCAATCATGAAACCACCTCCAGTTTCCTAAGTTACTCACTCATCCACGCACTCCATGAGACTGCGCCATCTGGCAGCTGCAGAGCCATCATGGAAGCCGACTGACTCTGCAGACAGCAGACACAATCGCGGCCTCCTCTTTTTTTCTAGCGGGGGAGCTGGTTTGTGAAGGTTTGCTGTCCTCCAGGATGTGGGTAACTCTTTCAGATGTCCTGAGGGGGCTATTTTTGTTGACATGTAGCGATGTTGGCCCAAATTTATCAGCTCTGTCGCTTCAGGTCATTCTGCACTTGCACTTTTTTGAGTGTTTTTCTTACATCAAACATGTCTGAGGAAAGGACGGCTCAGAAGGATAGAAACCTTTGAACACGACTTGGAAGAGTTGTGGAGACTTGGGATAATTCATTATTTTTCAATGTATTTCTAAAACTATTCCCTCCATTGAAAATTTGAGGCACTTTTAATCCAAACAAGGTGCGAGAAACAGAAGAATGGTGTCTACAAACAGAAGCGATGTGGTTGCTGCTGCTCTTTTTGTCATTTTACGCCGATGGAAACATCACATGAAGTCACACTACAATGACGGCATTCTTAGTTTTAACCAGAGCTGCTCCTCTTGGGATCCACGAGCTGTCAAAAATGCAGCGCTAAGTGTTAAGTTACACTTGTGCCTGTGGCGATATCGCTACACTATAATACTTTGTGGCATGTAGGTCTGTGTTTGTGCCAATACTTCCACAGGAGATGTTAAGATCGGACTTATTTGCCAGCTCGCTGTAATGCCTGATTAACAAAAAAAAGGGGGCAAAAATAGCATCTTTACTTTACTTGTTATATCATTTAATTATTTTAACTCTTTAGGGAGTTCACTGACTTCACTAACTTCCAGGAGAACAACAAACATGGAGATTGTAATTCATCAAAAACAGATGATTCTGCACTGCTCTGGTATTTGGCTGTGGGGAAAGGGGGACTTCATCCCCCGACTCCACTGGAGAAACATTTGTGTGGATATCCCTGTTAATTTCAATATTTTTACACCACTCAGTGTGTTTTGGTCCCACATGAGCTCCTTGAAACAAAGAACTCTGTTAAGACCGTCATGGAAATGGAGTACAAAATTAAGTGGGCTCCTGATGGGAAGTACACGAGAATATTAATGTCATAAAGTAATCTCTATCGTTGGATATTGAATAAGCAGAACTAGGATGGGTGGACGTATATGACGCCACATACTTGGAATTCTGCTCAACCCTCCTCCTGTGTTAGGGTTTGCACCGACCCCTTTTTTATTTTTATTTTCATTTTATTGGATTAGAGGTTCCTAACAAAGTAAAAAAGTCTTGATGTGAAAAAAGTTAATTTATGTGGTTCTTTTAAGCATTTAAAAACAAAAAGTGACTAAATTGTAAAATGCTCCTATTAAAATTATGGCACTTGTCATGTCAGGGTCACTGTTGACTGGTTAGATTAAAAATCAATAATTAGAGCAAAAATTAAAATCATATGTGCACTGTCAGGCACCGCACCGACAGTCAGATCCTTCTCCAATCAGAGTTGCTGATTCCTCAGTAAGGAAAGTAGCTATTGGCTGTCCTAAAAGTCGCTACATGACGTAATTGCCTAATTTGCATGATTGGCCAAATTGTAATGGACGCTGTAAGGGAGCGGAACAGCGCCGTGGGAGAAACAAAAAGTGAGTATAAAATACGCCAAAAATGTTTAGAACTACAAATGAACTTTCTTCTGTTGATTTGTGTTTTTTTTTTTATGTCGCAATACCAACACAGCTTGAGAACGGCAAAAATGGCCCAATTGAGACAATTTAGCGGATAGTTACTGAGATTTTTTTTTTTTTCTTTTTAAGTTTTGTTTGGTTTTGAACAACCAGCGTCGGCTTCACGCATGCACAGTTCATTTGCAGTTGTCTGGATGTAGAGAAGTGCACACGTCTCCTCAGCCTGCAGCTGGGAGGGACTGCTGTGTTATGTAAGGACTGGGCTGCCTGTGAGTGCTGTGGGACAGGGGAGAGGCTCACGGCAGCGCACGCTGTTGGTTGAGAAGAGTAGGTGATACGTGCTTTAACGACAGAGTCTCCAAAAGTCTCTAATGACACCACAAAAAGTCGCGAGATTTGTCGCTAGTCGCTTTTTTGAAAAATAGTCGCTAGAGGGGTCTGAAAACTTACTAAATATAGTGACAAAGTCTCTAAGTTGGCAACACTGGTTCCAATCATGTGAGATTTAGGAAAGTCTTATTTCACCTTGTTTTTCCCTGCACAAAAAAACAGCATCAGACATGTCCAGACATGTGAGATTAGTCCAGTCTAGATGTCTGTATGAGGATACACTGGCAAAGGAAGGCCTAGAGGCTCACAACAAAAAATATTATAATCAATATTTTCATGGATAATGACGCCTGACAAGGTAACCAGAGAACCAAATTGAATGATAGAGAATTTTTTTTTTTTTAAGTAATTTGCAGCTGATTTAAAACAGGGGTTGAAACCGACCCATTAACATAGTGGATGTGTAGTAAAAGCTAACACAGGAGGAAGTCCGTCAGACCACACAGTGTCGTCCTGCTGCTTAAAACTAATGCAAATCAGCTGAGAGACAACATGACAACAACATGACAACATTCAAAACGTGTCAGAAAATACCAGGAGGCTTTTTTTTATTCCTGAACGTAGCAGGTGTCACCAGATAACACTGGCTTTTTCTGACTCTCTGTTTAATACTAAGAGCAGATATCTTTGTGCAGAAGATAATTCAGTTTTAGAGAATATTTTTGCATCTCAAGTATCGACACAGAGGGCGAACAATGACCGCTGGACAGAGGATGAACTTTTATCCCTCCTCTGAAAAATCTGCTGACAGTAACCTGCAAATGGCCATCACCCCAGGAGCTATATTGTTGTCAAAAGACCGCCGCATGGGTCAGCAGATTCCCACTAGTGGACTTATGGTAATCATAGAAAGAAAATGGTAAACTGCATGTCATTGTCAGTCAATTAAAGGGTGCAAACAGCTCTCAAAAACAGCCCACACTTAAGAAAACAGCCTGGGAGGATAAACATCTGGACCGAAAAGTCAAGCAGCAACATGTGGTGTGAGGATTTTTAATCTAATGTGAGACGGTAGGTAAAAGCGGCGTTGTCATAACAGTAAGTTTCTCCCTTATGTCATTGAAGCTTGTGTAAATTCAGCGTCTGTGTGAACAATAGCCAAAGGTACTCCTCCATCTCATGCATTAATTCAGCAGCAGGAGTATATCTCCATCTCTGCCAACTGCTGGGTGTCATGAAACACTTAAAATAAAGGCAGACTAACAATGAGACAGATGCTTGAGGCTACAGATTTTGTGAAAGCTCCTGCAATCTGAGTTGAAAGCCTGCAAGAGTCGGGCAAACACTCTCGCTGACGCTGCTGCATTATGGATGGAAACAAAATGGGCATGGCTGCGTTATCATTAGCTCCTCTGTGGGAATGAGAGATCAATGCCAACTCTGATCTTACCTGCAGACTGAGCTTCATCCTGGACAGTCTGAACTTTCAAACTTCATTAGGGTGCAGCGGTGATGGCGATGGCACGGTAAATGGCTTTGTTGCAATATTGATAGCATGAAATGTACCAGAAACGGAGTTTGAGGGAAGTGCCAGTTTAGAAAAGTCTTTACGGTGCAGTGAATTTTTCTTTGTCTGTGTTTTACAGGAAGGGATAAAAGTGAGTCGGCTAAAAGGTGTTCAAACTTTGTAATGAATAAAGAGCATGAAAACCGACCTCTAATGGTTGGATAGTGTGTATATTTACTCGAATATAACCCCAAAACTCACAAACTAAACTATCTTTTGAACACGATCAAGCCGTGATGCACTGAGTGGCAAAAGTTTCATTTTAAGCATCTTTTAAATCAAAATTATGAAAAATACAAAGACACACAAAAAATGACAAATTAAAAAAATTAAAAAACAACTTTTTCCCCTCTATATATGAGTAGAAAAACATACACAATTGCAAAAAAGTGTCCATTACTTGGTCTGACTTTTGACCTTTGGACCTGAGTGGACTTGAAGCAGGAAATAGAGATGTCCTGATGCTGATCTCAGATATCAGACTGGAGCAAATCTGGACATTTTGACTGACAGATCAGCATGCAACAAGTAGTGACTTAGTACAACCAAGCATTCTGGGTACTTCATACACGTGTACAGCCAGCAAGATTAGAGCAACTGTCACTTTAAGGCAGCCAACAAAACTCTACAGAGAGATGGAGGTCCAAAAAGGCAAACTCAATCCGTCACATTAACACTGCCAAAAACGTCAGAAGTTTAGAAATATTTTAGACTAAAAAGTGAAAACAGAGCAACAGCCACTTGTGATATTTGTAATATATCAACACCAGTGCTGTCACTTATTATCTGAAATCAGAACCTTAATACAAACTCTGAGGGAAAAAGTTCATATTCAAACTTTAATGAGAACTTTAATTATTCAGCAAAAGCAACTGCTGTATGACCTGGCCAGTCGAAGCACTCTTGGCCTCTGTAAGTTAATACAGTGACATTATTCTCCAACAACACCAATATATCCTCTGAGTTGTAAATAGAAGTCAAAGTTATCCCTGTGACAATGAAGTTTCGACTATTTACCAATGGAAAAGTAAGATAATACAAGATTACTGAGGCACCCAGTAATGTGAAATTTCTAAGTATGGCTAGCATTAGCAGAGCTAGCGCCACCAGCATTTAGCTCTTGGGGTGCAGGTGAACGTCCATGTGTATTTTAGGGTTAAGAATTACCTCTAAGTGTTATACCAGTTAAAAATGTCACAGCCTGCATTAAAACTTTACTTCCATTTTCCAGATCAAAATATAGTTCGATCAAGCCGCGCTAAATCAGTCATCTATGCTTGTTTACATCCGCATAGTAGAGCTTCATAGTGTTAGACATCAACCAGAGCTACAATCTTGACTGGAGGTGGACAGAGATTTGAGGCTTACAATTATTAAAGAAATTAATGATTCATTCAATAAAGTAGTAATTTTAGAGTCAACTCGCGAGGGTGCTGACATGTAATTATTTATCGGACTAAACCTGCGCATTCATAGTTTAATAATTCATAACTAATGAAGAACATCTGCTCGTTAATCATTTATGTTAAAGAAGAAATCAAACTGATATTTATTTGGTTTTATTCAGGGATCATGTGCCTCAAGGTTTGTCTAAAAAGAGAAGTCCAACAAAGTTGTGGGAAAAGTTAAACAGACCGTACAAGTTTAATGGCCCGTGTGCCGTGATTAAAACTTCTCTATTTTCACCCGAAACACGTCTTTTGTGGCTTCTTTCTGCACACCACTTACATTTGATTAATTCACAGCTGCATAATAAATAGAATCAATTCCAGTTGAGGCATTAAATTACCTGTAATTAAGCCATTGATTGAATGTTCTGATCTAGGTAATTGATTTTATTGTCCATTAATTTAAACCAAAATCTTCTGCGAGGGGATGAGATTCAGTGGCTGCTGCCAACCAAGAGAGAGAGCTATTCGTCTTGCCGGGTCTGATATGGAACATCTTTAATGTGGGTGCAGTAATGTCAATCGAGTTATCACTTAGTATCAAGATGCTTCCTCGGTGGAAAAAACCAGCCTGCTTTATTTCCTGGATGAGTTAAAGTGAAAAAGACAAGCATTAGCTGAGAGTCTGTCTGTCTTCATGAATATTTCCACGTCTAAGAAGCCTATTTTAGGAACACCGAGGGTTAGATGGAACAATACAATTATCACGTTACAAAAGCAGACACACTAGCCTCTAGCCTGGAACTAGAGCTTTTCAGTAAAGCTGTTTTAATGATCTCAGTTGGAGATATTTTAGTAGCAGAGGAGTTCAGATGTACTTTTTTTTTAGAGACTCCACATGATTTCTCGTCTCTCTTTGGGTTTTTTTTTCCTGTAACCTTCTCCCCCTTTGACTGCAGTTTAGTTCCCATTATGGAAATATTGCTGCTCAGTTATGCATGCAACCTCTCCATTTTCAACAAACTACATGACATTCCTTCACGAAAACACTGGAGTTGAATTATTAAAGAGCACTATTTTGTGTTAATGCATTTAATTATAATGTTGTCATGATGACATAAATAATTCATGCTGACTTTTTTATTTTTTTTTGCTTCACCCCAAGTATCTAAAATTCAAATGCAGTCTTCTGCTTTTTAAGTTCTTCACATTTGAGGTTCACGGAGAGGTTTTTCATGATGGAGAAAGAGCTCTCACATGACCGGGGGGCACCTGATGCGACTTTCTGTCTTAAATGTATGTTTTTTCAAGTCACAGCGGAAGCGCTCGTGTTTATTTGATCGCTTACACGCTCTCTCATGAAGAGTGCGAAAGAAAAGAAAGCACGGTTCATTTTGAGGCTGTTACATAATGAAGCGTCTGTGTGTGACAGCAGGACACAGAGCCCATGAATCTTTAAAGTTAGCCATGAAATAAGTATTTTTCCCTGCCAATTATGAGGCCACCATGACTCCTCTCCCGTTTCCTTTTGGTCCTTTTGCTGCAAATATCTATCTTGCTATCTTTTCTTTGGTGAAACAGACAAGTTCTGATTGGTCCAAATTTAAAAATCAAAGCACTGCTAATTGGCTGGATATGGGAGAATTTGCAACATTTGTTCCCCTTTGAAAATTTATCGTGCCATAGACAAGCAATTAATATAACGTTTGAACAAATAATTGAATAAATGAATGGGTAAATTGCTGAATAGAGGTTGATGTAGTAATGCAAATTACACTGAATGCAAGAAGACAGGAGCGATCCTCCGCTTATTGAATTAACTGCAGTCTGGGCTGTGTGTCCTCACATGTTCTCAAACTGCAGCAGTAAACATGTCTGACAGATAACAAGCAGGATCCTTGACAATAGGACTGTTCCCTGTAGAGTTTTTGATGCTTTTTTTCAGAGGCTTCAAAAACGCATTTACTTCTTTATACGATAGGACCCTTTCTTATCATTGTAAATTAAATCCAACTGTTCCTGCCACTCAGAGTCAAACATCTGAAGTTGTGTTTACACCAAAGGAGAGGAAATCATTCCCGAGTGAGTTACATGTGAGGATGCAAATGACGTGAATGAAGCAGAACGAATTATGCAAATTCGTGACCGAAAATCAAAATAATTGCTTGATTCAAGAAAGTTATTCTGACTTGTAGGTTCCCCTGGAGATGTATGTCAACAACCAGTAAAGGGTCAAACATCTGGAAAAGGGAGGGCAGACTGATCGTAACGTACGCAACTTGTTTTAATATTGAAACCAGAATAAAAAGACAGAGGAGATGGTTTTATCTGGTAAGTTGTGCAAACACAGCAAAGCCTTGTTATGTAGTCCAGACACGACTAAAGTGACATGAAGGGAACTCCTCCTGTCTTGACTGAATTTATATGTCTGGTATTTGCGTTACAGCACAGGAACGGAGTAAGTTATTTGCAGACCAAGCGAGTAAACACAAATCATTCAGGTGTTCAAACGCATGAATGAAGCGAGTAAATAATTCAATTTACTTACAAATGTACAATACAATCACTTTCTGTACTGCAGAAAAGAGCCATAAGAATAATCCACAATATCGGTTATAGAGATCACACAAATTCACTATTCCTAAAATCGAAAACAGTAAAATTCCTGGTTGACTTTCAAACATCACAAATCATGTACTAAACAATAAACAATCTACTGCCTGGAAATATCCAAAAATTGGATAAATTAGGGTTTATCATGTGAGGGGGGACTTTAACTTAGAGCATCAGCGGGCACGTACAACATGAAAAAGTTTTTGTGTTTCTGTTTGTGAAATAAGGTTGTGGAACAGATGAGCTGTGGAACTCAAGCCATGTCCAAGCATGACCCAGTTAAAGAAGCGGTACAAAAACATGGTTTTCACCAGGTACAGGGAGGAAGAAGGGCTTTAACCATTGGGTCTTTTCATTATGTTCTTGTTTATTTACTCTATTTATTTTCTATTTTTTGTAAACAATGTAAATATGTTGAAGACTGACTGTTAATTGAGTAGCGGCGAGGGTGTAGGTTTAAATAAGCGTAATGCTTCATCCTACTCCTTATCGGACATGTTGGGCTCACATTATTATTAATAGTTTTTGTTTTCCTTTGATTATCATTATTCTTGTTTTGAATATTGTCATTGGTTTTGTTTGTTTGTTTTCAGTTTGTGTAAACACAACAGCATTCTCTCAAATACTTAAGCCAATCTTATGGTCTGGTTAAGTTGGCTTCACATTTCCTGAATTCACGGTTAAGGAGAAATTGTTGAAAATTAAGACGACTCAAAGATGAACCGGCAGATAAAAACCTCAAACCATGTTGAGCCATCCCTATTTTATGAGTACGGAGTTTCTGAGTCGCCAAAACTACTCAACAAAATGTTTCTAAACTTTTAAGAAGAGTTGGTAAAAGAAATCAACTTTTCCAAACGTATCAAAGTAGGTTTATTTAAAGTTTTCTCGTGTTTCGGTTCTCTTAGAGGTTCTGGACCTCCTTTTAGTCGTCGCTGGGAATTTTGTCAGTTTATGTTTGAAAATGACATTTTAAGTGGATTTGTATTTCCTCATGTCAGAGTGAGCCCGAGTGTTTAGTACACACGTCATCTAGGAGACTGAGATGTCCTGCAGAATACAACAACCGCACTGATCTGATGCTCCTGTGTTCCTCTTTTCCCAGAGATGGAGTCGAGCCGATATTAAAACCCGTACATAAAGTGAAGTGAATCTCTACCTGTAAAGGGATTCAGGGTAGAGCGCAGCCTTACATCTCATGAATGAACGGCCGGTCTTAAAGGCTGCAGGCCGGGCCTCTTTTTAAAGCAGGAAAACCCTTACACTGAGCTGATGATTCCCACTTAAACAGGCACAAAAACACTTCAAACAGGAGTGACGAGCAGACAAGAGTGCATCCTAGACACGTTCTTTCACAGTGACGGGGTTATCTAAGGTCAGTAATCAGTGAGAAGAATCACGCTCAAGTGTGTTTTGGAGGGGGGAAGAGTCTCACAAGTATTATACATTAATGAAGTCCTAAAAGAGACTAGAAATCATCCTCTCCACGCGCGGTCCTATACGTGCAAATCTGCGACTCAGATCTTTGAGTGCAGTTCAAATACTTCTCAAGCAGAAAAAAACAAACCCCGCACCGCCGTGTTTTCATGACTTCAAACCACAATCACTTGAACGGATATGTCACGGCAGAGACAGAAGCTGAAGAGTTGTGCAAATTTAATGACACACTTTCCTTGAGAGGCTGCTAATGCAGCACAGGACTCTTTGTTCGCGCTCGACACAGCCATGACTCTATTCCTTTTTTGTTTTTTAATAATGCCGTGCTCGGCGTTTGCTAATCTCCGCCGCACCAGAAGCGATGTCACAAGGTCAGGGCGGGAGGTTTGCATGCTCTCCCTGTACCAACGTGCCCTGGAGAACTCTGTTTACAGGAAGTTAAGAGGACGGCTTAATTGGTCCATGAAATATTCCAAAATACACACCCATTAAAGCGTTTGTTAAAATGCGTCTTAATTGCATGTATCAGCATGGGAATTCTTACTAATGAAGCCAACAAAATGTCTAATTGTGCACAAATAATTGCTTTTATTACCTCATAAGCGCTCACCAAATTAACTGCGAAAGGCCGCCCTGATACAGCACTTACATAACCGGCACACAAACACACAGCTATTGTCATTCTCACAGCTCGTGCCGAAGAGAACGTGTATCTCAGGCTTTTCTCGACTGCTCTCCACCAGCCTGCAGTAGCTTAGGTGAGAACTTCGTCTGTACTCCCACCTTCAGCATTTCCTCAAAGTCCCAATCCAAATCCCAACCAGGATAATCTCATCCCTCCGCTCTGATGTACTTCCATTTATCCTAGCCTTGTACTACTGCCAGCTCAGCCTCGTGTTAGCGAGAAGGAGAAAGAGGATTTCTTCTGCTTTCCCCATGCTCGGGCACTTCACTGAGGTTGTAAGTCTGCGGCGCCTCGGAGCTCCACAGAATCTGCTCAATGTCACCCCTGCAGCGCCTCAGGACACAATGGCCACATTGGTTGTTATCATGCAACTTCCAGCTGTGGGTTCATCTGAGAGACTTAAAGACCAGAGAGAAATTCCTGTACAGTATTGGCATCCAGGAAAAGTCTTGCTGTACAAGAGTGTAACAGTGGTAGCAGCCATCAAAGGCCTGCTGCATATCTTGCATCAGCAGAAAGTAGAACTGATATAGGGTAAGATGCAAAAAAAAGAAAAAAAGGGAAGCACTGCAAGCTGTCACATAAAGGCTCGGAGGGAGCATGCTTTTAAGGTTTTGCTGAATGTGAGCTGTGCGGAGAAAATGGGAACGTGACAACCTCTCTTGTTGGTGACAAAAGCCATTTCGAGTTTCAGGGATGTCAGTAACACAGAGAAATCATTATGTGAATCAGGTGAGTGAAAGAGAGAGCGTATTCAACGTCCCGCGGACTAATCAGCTTTATGACAGTGAAAGCGTTGCAAAGCACATATCAAAACCAACAGCTTGTTACATGCAGGTTCACAAAGTAAGGAAAACGCCTCGGCGTGACAGTTATCAGGAAACTGCAGCCAACAGAGAGCATCATAAACAGCTGGCAAGAAATAGCAGCACACATAGAAAGCAAAGAAAACAGAAGCTATGGGATATACAAGAATGTTTTTGCTCATAAATAGAAGAAAAAAGAAAAGAAATAAGCAGCAGGGTGGAAAACAGAAATACTACAAGATCAACAATCAGCAACAGGAGAGCCAATTAAAGTCAGTACTCACAAATAATGACCACAAGGGGCATGTAAAACACAAAACTATGAGCTTTCTCACCCACACAATTAAAGCATCTCAGTAAAAAAATTTAGCACAACCGTGAGATTCAGCCAACAACTCAAAGCCCAGAACGGCTTATCAATAACCTCACACTCTTTCAAAATTAAAACCACTGCAAGTGCTGCACAAATATGTGCATATTAACACCGGCATCAACTCATTACATGCACATTCATAAAAGCAGACAATGGGCACTCGGTGTGCAGTTGACGAGGATGAGCCGCCAATACTTGGTGTAAATGAGTTACATGTAAAAACACAATTCAAAGCAGTCAAAGACGCTGGATGGCATAATGAAGTCTGCACAGTAAGAAAGAAAGAAACAAGGAGTAAAAGCGTGATACAACAGAGGAGGCCCGGCCGCCATCTTGGCATGAAAACACCCTTCTATCACTAGCCTTGTTTACATGTGCAAAATTTCTTAATCCGACTAAAAATTTGAGGGGATGGGATAATCTGAATCCACTGTTTCTGGGCGCAAAAATCAAGTGCGTATACATGCCCCGAGTTTTATTCAGATTAGAAGCATTCGGACATGCGCAGTTGTCTAATTTCGCTAAAACAACTGTAAAAGAAGAGTTGTATTTACACCTGTGCTGTCAACAAAACAACAAACACGATAGTGGCTTACTCCATCTAATTCAGGAGTTTCCCCCCTGTTAAATGTTGTCACTAGATGGCGCCCTTGCGTACTTATATATACACTGTATGTATGCCTTGTTATGTTATCGGAGGAGCAGACAGCCCTGTGATTGTGTTAATAATGAAACCTCCTGTACTGACCTCAATAAAAAAGCTAAAAGCGAAAGAGTGAAGACTGTTCGGTAAGAGAGTCAAGATCGGAATAATGATCGGCAAAAACCACCCCTTTCAATCGGAATACAATTTCTTTCCGATTGGGTGAAATTGGATCCGAATTTTCCGATTGACGTGTTTACATGACGCATTTTTATTCCGATCGGGCCTTAATTCGGATTATTTGTGCCCATGTAAACGCAGCTAGTGTGACCAAGGCTATACTGAATGTCTAATCCAGTTAAATCCCACATTTTAATGGCAGTGAGCTTCTTCAAGACTATGAACATGTATAATCCATCAAGCTAACCATGACAAACCATGGCCAACAGCAACAGCAACAACAAGCAGCCATGCAGCAAACAGGTACGGATATACATGAGAGCACACATGATGGAATTATGCAACCAAAAGCACACACTAGAGGAAAACAAAAAAGGGGGTTCCTACCTTGTTGAAGTGAAGCGCTGTTATCCGAGGAGATGTTGCAGCTCCGAGCGACAGATGTGGCACTCTGGAAACCTTTACCTCGAATCAATCATCGACTTCACGCAACAATTAGAAGTGTGATAACCTACCTTGAGCGTGACAAAAGCCATGTTGAGTTTCCCAGGCGGCAAATAAGTCTGGGAAATTGTTTGAATGGGGATGTGTTCAGCCAAGCAAAGCTGCGGTAGCCTCCATCACTTAAACGCAAGTTTTCATATTTCATAGATTAAGCAGGAACAACAAAACAAAGCACAGATGACACCGGTACAAGAAGCAGCGAGCGAACAAACAAGAGTAAATAAAAGAGTAAAATAAATCACACATAAGCACATTACAGCGGTGAAAACTGGCCTCTGCGTTGTTGTATTGAATCCCTGCTTTTCAAAGTTATCTTTCATGACAGATAAGGCGGATTTTACAAACCGCAGATGTTGCATTTTCAGTAACATTGTCCTATGGCATCAAATTCAAATGTTGGCAAGAAGAATATTAAATGTTCAGTTACAACATAAACATTTCAACTCAGTGTGTGTGTTTGACAGGGAAAACGTGAATGTGACGTGTGCAGCCGTGCTAAAACCAGGCAAAACTGAAAGATCCCACAATGCTTCAGTTTACCTCAGAGTGTGTAAGATGACAGCAGGATACATTAGTTATTTAAGGAACAATTTATAATCATGCACAAAACAAGGACAATGCATTAGCCAGCCAACACAACTGGACTATGTACACCAGCATTGAAAAACTGCCAAATGAGAAACATGTTCATCACCACTAAAACATCCTTTTTCTTGCTGTTATCATGATCTAGTTTAACCTTGGACAGTTACTAAAGCAGGTTAATTTATGTTGTGGTTTCTGTCTCTGTTTATCCTGCTCTTCAGGTAAACCTTCAGCTTCCTTATGTAGACAACAAGCCAAACAACAATCAAGTCAAGACTTCAGAAAGTAAAACAATTAAAACAAGGCACAAACATACAGCGTTCAACATCAAGTGATAATACCCTCCACAAGAGACACTGAGGTATTGAAATCAACCAAACAAGTCCATCATTACAGAAGATGAAAAGTAGTATTTATTTAAAGTAAGTAAATATTTAAGTATTTATTTAGAAGATGTGTTTTTATATTTCATTCTGTCTCTTTTCATTCTCCATACATCATTACCAGTTGCCATAAAAAAACTATCAATATCAACTCTTTCTCTGCCGTTGACAAGATCTTCTGTCAGTCTGTAGTTCACTATTATTCCACTGGTGACACTGCGACCCGTTTTGTTTGGTAGTAACTACACTCCTGGTTTTAGTTAACAGAGAAGAGTCAAGAGTCAAGTGCAAGTAGAGATGAGCGAAGAAGAGAAATTGCCGATGCAGCCAAAATTAATCTCGGACCTTGTGCTTTTGCGTCTCGTTCTCAAAATTTCTATTTTTTTTCCTTAAAAGAATTTCATTTAAAAACATTTATCAGCCTGTTGTGGATAAATTCTACAAATCATTATAATAATAATTATTATTATTATTTTTGGTGACCTTGGATTTACTTGAAAAACGCCTGAACATATTTCTCGGCGAGAATGTGAATTCATCGCACTGTGAGAATAAAACAATAAAACTCATATTCAGAAAATTCCTTGAAATCAGACCTTCCCCGCTCACTAAAGCTACAAAAATATTATTTATTGAAGTATTTTTGTATTATTATTATTTTTGATCCCATCTGAGCAGGTTGGACTGATAATTCTGATTTTGAAGATAAATTTATAAACTTTTCTTCACTTTAAATCAAGATTGCGGCTAATTGATATTTGTGTATTTCTTAAAACACATGAAGCACTGGACCTGGCTGACATTTATTGATTAATTGATCAAAAACTCTAACTGAGCTGTCATCCTCCTTCTGATCAGGATGGGAGCCATGCTTTATGTGCTTCAGATTCCTCAAACCAGAACAGATCGAACACAAGAAGACTCGTTTACAGGCAGAAACGAGAGGAAAAGTCAACATTATTATAACTTACAGCGTGTAAAAACGGCAGGCCTATAGCACAAGTATGATCAGGATTATAAAACAAAAGCAGCGAAAGCGAAAAAGAAGGAGTAAATCTCACTCATGTCGGCATAACAAAGAGAAACAGGCCCCTACCTTGTTGAAGTGCTGTGCTGAAATCCAGGTCATCTCTTTGGAGGAACAAGCAGCAGTTTCAGCAGATTTGTCATGTTGCAATAATGTCAAACGTTTGCAATAAGAATATTAAGTCTGCGGTCACAATGCGAACCGTGTCAGCCAAAAGCTGCGTTAAGTTTCCCTATAAGTCAATATAACTCTGAGATTATCTGGATGTGGAGCCGTGCGTACCCCACATTGCTCCTGGATGAGCGTTTACACTCCAAGAGGACATAAATAAGCGGCATTAAAACATCACAATGCAAGTCAGACAACAACCCAAACAAAAGCGAAATAAATACCGTTACACAAAGATGACAGAGGCAGCAGCAGCCAGCAAAGATAAAAAGAACAAGGACTTAACAGAGCTAATTCATCCATCAGTATATAGATTTAAGCATAACAGAGGCAATAAAAGAGCTGGAGGAAAAACACTGTGTTTGTGTGGAGAAACATAGAAGACAAACTGCACTGTGTGTTGTTAAAACCCCACACTGGGATAGCAGGAGGCTTGTTTTCTTGTAGGAATGAATATGATTTACTATGTGCGAGATAACAGTCATTTTATCCCCATTATTTTTGTTGCACATAGAAAAATATAAAGAAGATTTAGAGTAAAGCAGGAAAAACACAACGGCATAAGTTTGAGCGAAAACAGAAACTGCTTTACAGATGCAGAAGAAGAAAAGATGTCCAAAAAACGCACTTTTCAAACTTTTAAGAAGCTGCCTTATCCTTATCATACATGTTAGACACACAACTTAAAATACAGCCAGATGTAACTGCAAAAGATCCACGTAACCACACTTCACTGATTCATTACACAGGCAAAAACAAAACAACAACAAAGAAAAAATACGTTCAGCCAAAGCAGCGAGACAGCAGCAGAAATAAGCAGCTGGCAAACAACCTTAGAAACACACACAGTTGAGTTCACATTGAGGAAGACGGAGCATCATGTTCGAATGCACATGCTAGAAAAATAAGAAAATAAAGCACTTACCTTGTGAAAGTACAGCACAGATATTCAAATTCACACACAGTTGTTGTTTCATATTTTCATACTGACTTAATGCAATAAGTGCAAGCAGGTCATCAGACTTTGCGTGTGACAAAAGCATCCTAAGAGTGTAAATACATGGAGTAAATATTTCGAAGAAGTCATTTGAATGTGTTGCGTGCAGTCAGGGGTTAGTGGCCTGCGCTGCTTAAACGTGAGCGTTCTCGTTTCAGAAGAGCATAAATCAGCGGCATTAAAGCAGCACAATGCAAGTCAGACAACAACCTAAACAAAGCGAAATAAATACCAGCGCACAAAGATGACAGCTGCAGAGGCCGGCAGAGAAGCACAAACAAGGACTAAGCAGAGCCGGTATGTCCAACAGTTTGGAGATGATTTAAGCACAATGGCGACACAGCGGGAAAGAAAACGCGCTCAGTGGAGGAAACGTAAAGCCGACATCCTAACCAAATGGAAATGCATGAGGCCAGTTAAACAAGGGAGGGATTTTCTGCAGTTTGCACATTTGGAGCAAATGCATGAACAAATTGCAGACAAAGGTGGAGTTTCATGAACGATTATCATGTCAGTAAACTGTTGAAAGCTAATAACGATAATGGTAAGAGTACAACATGAGAGTATTCATATTCAACTTTGAATGGACACAAGTGAGAACAAGCTGATTTTGTTTCATCCAACCCTTTCCCACATGTACTTTCACACTCTCACATATCTCGACGATAAAGGCGTGAAAAAGCCCCAAAATCATTTTACAAAACCTAAATCAAACACTTATCCAAAAAGAGAAAAACATCAACAAGTAAAAGCAACCACAGTTTTTGCATTTATCGCCTGAGATGCAACATCAGTGCACCACCACCCCCAGCAAAGCATAAAAAAACAACAACTTTGAAGCACAAAAACACCTCCAAACAAAGGCAAGCCGTGACTTTTAGTAAAATAGTGACTGTGTTCCCATGAGGCAGATGTTACATCTCATAAACTCAGCTTGCAGCACAAGGCAGCTTTGAAGGCCAACAGGTGTCAATATTCTTCCTCAAAGCCGCCCTGATGCCACATATCAAACATTCAACCGGCTGAAAATGAAGTGTGTGAAAGTAACACTTTTGGAACCAGGCTTTTCATGATCACAATAGCAAGGAGAAGGAAAATAGTGGCTTTAGTCCACCACAAAAAAAACATGAGTGTTCACAGTTGATCCATTCAGAAACTACAAACCGACTGACCTGTTCAGTCTGCAGGTTAAAGACCACTTGAAATGAGCATTTGGCAGCCAAACACAAATCTGGAAGAGCAGAGCAGGCGGCCATGTTGGAGAGTAGGCCTCAACCAGACAGGGTGAGTCAAGCAAAAGCAAGATAGAGACTGAAGAGTGTCAATGAAGAGCAGTACGCACTGGCAGCGGGTCACATTAAAAACAAACTTTGAAATGTTAACATGAAATACAGCAGCAGAAGTTGGAGGCCAAAGCTCAAGCTTCAAAAAGAAACTCATGAACCCAGGCAGCACTGGTGTTCACGCAACCACACAAACAAACACGGCCTGACCGAGGCGAACACAAAACTCAGAATACACCAGCTAGCAGCAAAAACGAACAAAGTGACTCTTACCTGTTTGTGAAGCGACGCACAAACGTGATATTTCCCTCCCGAAACAGAAGATTCAATG